GTATCTTCTGTACTAAGTGTTCGGTTGGGTGGTTCAATGAAGTTGATTTGGTAATCGACGGTGGGTCGAGTACTGATTGTATAAGTGAGGAATTTTGCATAGCAAACGGAATCAAGATAGATCCGCATACTAGACCATACAAGCTTCAATGGTTGAGTGAAGAGATGGTTGTGGATGTTACTAAGAAGGCCATGGTACCTTTTCAGATTGGTGAGTATATGGATGAAATTTACTTTGATGTAATTCCTATGTCTCTTTGTGATATTTTGCTAGGTAGGCCTTGGCAGTCAGATGTAGATGCTGTGCACCATTGCTCGAAGAATATCTTTGTCTTTACTAAAGAGGACAGAAAATATATTCTTAAGCCTTTGGCTTATGAAGAATCTGAATCTGTGCGAGAGAAAAGACGTAAGATAACCTATACACAAGGGAGAGAAAAAGTCGAGAGAGTGACGCAAGAAAGTAAAAAAGTTCACGCTGAGGTAAGACTTGATGCGAGAGAAAACCATGAAAATAGCGTGGAAACAGAAAAAAATGCACGCAATGAGAGAAAATCAGAGTGGGGTGAGGGTGAGGATTTTACTAACCCTTATATCTCGTTTGTTCCTTCTGCTGGTATAGAGGTTGATGATTCGAGGACGAATCCTCTTAAAGAAGGAGGGGATGATGAAAATCATGTAGCCTTCCATGGTGATTCTCCTAGTGAGGGGAGTGAACTAGTCCTTCATTCTAGTTTTGGAATACCAAGTTTACTTTGCAGGCCAATCAAGAAGAAAGGATGGATCTAGACTACCTATGTGATAGGGAGTTGGTTCAAGAGAGCCATGATCAAGATGATGAGAATGTCATTAACTTCGGGGTTCAAACCAAAGGAGATGATGACCTCATAGAAATAAGTGCTGAAGAGTATCAAGAGAGTTTGACTCTGTGTGCTCCATGAAGATCATTGATCAAGCTAGTGAGAAGAGTCATTTAGGTTCATGAGTGGACGGCCTATTTGATCAAAGTGTTCAAGATTGAGTCCATTGCTACACAATTGGATAGGTTGCAAACTATCTTAATTGTTTCAAGTGTTTTTCCAATCTTTTGGAGTCAATAAAGAGAATTCTACAAGTTTTGGAGTAAATTGGAGTTATCTACAACTTAAGGGGCGCAAAACCAATATTCCACTTTTGGAAGGGCGTTCAAGACATTTTACTTCAACAATTTGGTAGCTGATTTTCGAGATTTAGTCATTGTCTAAGTCTAGGAGTTATTTTCGAGTTTTATCTAGTTAGATAAGCCATGTGGGATGAATAAAGCTAGAGTATTTTGATTAGGAGTCTTAGATTCCTTCTAGACATTATCCTACTTGAGGATAAGTCATCTAGATAAGGTTTCCTAGATTTTAAATAGAGTCAAAAAGATAAAATACTCTTCTACTTCTACTCCTTGTGAGATAAGATTAGAGAGTCCTAATTGATCTTCTTTTTATTGGTGCTGGCCGAATTTCTAAGCCTATAAATAGGGGGCTTGGCCGAAATTTCAAAGCACCCTTGAGTGGTCATTTTTGTTGTCTCTTTTGAGAGTTTTTCCTGTGAGGAATTTTTGTTAAATGGAGTGTCCATTTTTTGTGTCAAGTATGATTTAACCAAGAGGGTTTTCATCTTGTCTTGGATCTTTTGATCTTGCAGAAAACCGTTCTTTTTCAAGTATGTTTCTTGATAGAATTGTTTTAAAACAAAACTTTTTATTTTCATACTACTTCTAGTTGTTCAATTGATGAGCCTTTCTTTTGGCTTGGTGTTCGAATTTCATGATGAGTGTGTTTATGAGTTCCATTGTGGGGTTTGTCCTATTTTTGTTGGATGAGTTGTGCTTTGGCATAAGCATTTTGAGATAGTGTATGTGTTGCATATCTTTGGTTGGTTATGAACATTACTAATCAATAGTATTCATTTATAGTTGAGCATTGTTTGCTCCTACCTTTCTTGAGTCTCTTGAATGATGACTGATCGAGTATATTGAATGGTGTCCTTGCTATTCTTAGCCTGGGTTGTTGTTTAATTTGAATCTTTCATGGATATGTGTTCTTTGCTTGGTTTGAGTTAAGGGATAGAATCACTTAGATAAACGATCGTCTTACTGTGAATTTTCCGCATTCTTTTGAGTTTCACGGGATAGACAAATTATCTTCGTACTTTCTTGTTGATGGTTGCATTAACGAAATTTGCTTCGTCTACGAGATTGCTATTACAACTTCTTCCAACACCGCCCTTACATAAGAAATTGTAATTGTATTTAAAGTAGAAGTGTATTAGAACTAAATAATATTAGAAATAGAATTGTATTGAGAATAAATGAGAGTAGTTTAGTATTTTAACCAAATATTTATTGTCTCCTTAAACTTTGTGAAACTCCTCTAGCGAAATATATTTTGGAATGGAGGGAGAAATTAAAACAATTGATTTCCGTCAAATAAGGCACAAGCACTCTTCTTGATTAGTGAGCTAGCTGACCGAAATTTTAACTTTTTCCATCATCTTATTAGCAGAGGACTAGTTGGCATTAAAAAGGTATTAAGAAAGAAAGGGATTTTATTTTATTTTATTTTACTTTTTGGGGGCCTTGAACATGGAAGGCCGTTGTAGAAAATCCATGCTATAACAAATTTTCCAATCTAACAAAGGATGGAGCACTGGAGATTGAAGACTAAAGTTTACGGGAAGACCGCTGAAATGTGCACTCTTCTCCTTTACCAGGAGTATAATGCATCTTGAAAACTTTGCTACAGGGATTTAATCCCAATAAATAAACACGTCACCCGTGCGATAAAACTTATAATGGATAAAGTCATTCGACATCCTTTTCAAAAATCCCAATAAGTAGCTAGAGCAAATTCATATTACCTCTATTTACTTTACCTTTATTTGTCGTTTTAGGGTTTGCACAATTGTTAAGAGAATAAAAGATTGAGATTTTAGTTTTTAATTATATTGTCTTTCTTTGCCCAAATTAAAAGTATTGAAAATCTACAAAAATTTAAACGTTAAGCAAAAAATAGAAAGATAGAGTAAAATTGGAAAAACTGTTATTAATGCTGCATTGGAAATGAAAAATGACAAATAAAAAAAATTTTAGATTCACTCTTTATACGTAATAAGAAACGAATCCTTTAACGAGTCATTAATATATTAATAAATATTTCATGTGTCCCTAATGAAGTATACCATTTTTTTTTTCTGCTAATTATTCCCTCCATTCCAAAATAAGTGTCATCTTACACTTTGCACATAGTTTAAGAAACTCTTAAATAGGGTAATAAAATTACTTGAATATCCTCAACTAACCCCATTATAAATTTTTGGAAGCTTTTGACAAAAAGTGCATTGAAATGTGAGAACGACACTTATTTTGAAATTTCTCCATTTTGTTAAAACGACACTTATTTTAGAATGGAGGAAGTAGTAAATATATTGCACACCATCACCAAATAACAGTACACAAGATTATTTTCATGTTTAAGATTGTTCTCATATTTCTACTTCTAAGAGTAACATAAACTGTTGAAATGTTACCAAAATTATAATACGCAAGAAATTCAATCGTTAAACTAATAAGCCCGAATCCTTGAGATACAACTTATCAGCAGTTTGTATTTTCACGCAGCACTACCGCAGCAACAAATCCTCTACAACTATGCTCTCCACGTCTATAGTCCTACCTTAAAAATTTGCGCTTCCCAAAGATGATAGAAACCAACCGTGTGAAGGGCACACAACAAGATACTCATTCCATTTCAAAATTTAAGTCACTTTAGACTTTATACGTAAATTAAGGAAACAATAATTAACAATTAATTTATGTGTTAAATATCAGTTGTACCCTAATTAATTATATTAAAGCTATAAACAAGACTAGATGAAAATATATTGGCATCATTTATTGAGGGTAAAGTTGGAAAAATAGTTATTAATTTGCCTAGAGTTTATAAAAAAAACCTACATTTTAAAAAATATCTCCAAACCTAAAAGAACCTACAAATTGAAATGGAGGGAGTATTAACTTTGACAATCATGCGCAATAATCTGTCCATATTGAGTAATGGTCCTTCCAATACAGTCACTAAATAAAAGAAAAAAAATGTTTAGCTAGGGACATTAGAGTGTTTATGCTCTTTTATTTGTGAGCTTGGACCAGAAAAAATAGTCCAAAGCTGTCAATTATTTTGAGGTTTTGTTATATTAATATTCTTTAATTAATGCTACAAAAAAAAAAGAAAAGAAATTCCCTTGTATCAGAAAACCTTGCACACAAATATATAGAAAATCCACATCAACAACAATAATAATTATAATAACTCATCTGCAACCTATATCTTCATACTTTAACTCTAACAGGTTAAAAATAAATAAAATTTTCCGAAACAATCTAAGGCAGTAAAAAATAATTCAGCTATATAAGGTTGTCCATGGTGCCATCCAAAAATAAAAAATAAAAAATTATGAATTAGTTGGGGTGAAAGTGTGGAGAAATATGCAGTACTCAAAAATAAAAGTTACACTCGTTGTTTCAACGGGAAAAAAATCTACTATACTGAACTATATAATAAATCGAATTAATTTTCAAAAGAACGGTTGTCGGGATAACTATATACTTTTGCTTAATTTTTTGTGATAGATGTACAAATATACATGCTTTTAATGTTTTCTTCCTTTTGGCGGAATACACCTTTTTAATGGAACAATTGTATTCCCTCATTTTCAAATTATTTTCGAATTTGTAAAAATATTCAACTAAGAAGATGAAATTTTAAAGTGGACAGTCATAAAATTCAAAACGGATAATCATTTTAGAACAAATTATTAATAATTTGTTCAACAATTAATTAGGCGAAAATGAACGCGGACACGTGCTGGTTGTACGTTAGGTAACCCGCCATTTCCCATTTTGCCCCTTGCCCATGGTTTCTTAGCTATATATAGATGTAAAAACGTTTGGCTAAAACACACAAATTGAGAGAAAAAACGAAAAAAGAAAACAAGAAGTGTAGTTGAAAATAAACATCAAAATGGCGAGCACAATGGCAATGTTAATGTTTATAAGCTGCTGCTTCGGCTTGGCTTTTGCCAGATTACCAGTGCCACTTAGCTTTAACACCGGCAGCAGCTCCGCCGACGGTCAGACCCCCGAGGCGGTGGAAAGGTGGTTCCGTGATGTGGACCCGACTGCGACACCCAGGTTGACCAAGATCCGGTTTTACTACCACGAGAACCGGGTCGCCGCCAACCCAACAACCGTGGAAATTGCTCGGGCCAGTAGCACCGGCAATTCCCCAACTAGTTTCGGGTCAACTATGGTCATCGACGACGCGTTGACCATCAGTCCAGATCCGGATTCTGAACTCGTTGGTCGAGCACAAGGCATTTACAGCTCCGCAAGTCAGGAGGACATGGCATTCATATTGATGTTCAATGTGGTGTTCACTTCCGGAGAGTTCGCCGGCAGTACGCTAAGCATTATGGCCAGGGATCCGATCACAAAAGAGTTCAGAGAACCTTCCATTTTGGGCGGAACCGGAGCCTTCCGGCTGGCCCGTGGAGCCATCGTTACACATACATATGCGCTGGACCCGGCCACTCTTAATGCTGTGGTTGAGTATAACCTTTTCGTCCTCCACTACTAAGAGATTTTGAACCTACTCTCCTGATCTGGATCCTGCAGCTTTCCATACTGAACGTGTCATGATTCGATGTTCATTCACTTTCTTTAGTTTGTTTCTTAGGCTTCGTATTGACGATGTGACTTTTTGATGGGCTATTTCATGGCTTCATCAAATATCTAAGGTCAAGTTTTATAATTTCTGCATGTTTGTTTGAAATTGAATAAAAAAGAATGACATCTACTCAAAATAAACACGGCATCTTCTTACATTAATTTTTTTTTCCAATATACATAGATATAATATATGGAAAATTTTACAGTTTAGCCGTTAGTTTTTTGACTGAATCATCCAGTCAAAAATTATCCAATTAAAACTTGACAAGTCAAAGATGAGTATAGGGCCACTAAACTGGTAACTCGCTGGCTAATTTAGTAAAATGACTTTTTTTTTGAAAAATAATCTTTTTTTAAAAAATAAAATTATATTAAACATTGAAAAAAAGGGCAACGTATATGCTAAACCCTATATCAAGTACAATTGTAAACTTAAGAGAAATTTAATCCTTATTGAATCTAGAGGAGCGACGAACCCGAACATTAGACTTGCCTTTACTTTTTTTCTTGCGATTTTGATATGGTAGAGCAGAAACTTCACTGTAAAATGATTCTTGTTCTATTGCAAATTCCATGTCGAAGTCTTCATCGTCGGAACCATTAAGAACATGATTTTGTTCACCTTCAGAATTGATTTGTTGAATCGAGAAACTTGGATTAAAAGACACTACATTTTTCTCTACCTCAAAATCATCTTTGCATAAATACTGGTTGTGTGTTTGTTCCGTGACTGGGCCTGGAATTGGGAGCAAAAGTTCAAGAAGAGGGACTTGTGATCTATGGGAATAGGCAAACTCCACTGCAGCGGGATTTAATTTCTTTGTGGAGCTATTATTAGAGGTTGACTTCGACTTCAATTCCTCTTCATTTGAAACCAGGTTAGGCTGCGAGAGAGAAATGCGGGGCATTGATTGTGCGTTTGGTGCGACAGGTAAGCTGGAGGGTGATTGCCGAATCTCATTTGAATTTAGAGAATCAGGATCAAAGGAAATTATGGGAGTGTGATGTCGAGCTAACACTAATGGACAGGGACATGTTGCTGCCAATAATGGAGAAGACAAGCAAGTTGAGGTCGTGAATGCTAATGGAAGATCTAAAGATGATGCTTTAAAGGATAATCCTTACATCCATGATCCACTCTCAAATATTGTTGGACCAATGACTCTTGCTAGATGCAAGAGGATGGATGAATCACTTAATAGTCTAATTGTTACTACACGGGCTAAGGAAGAAATTAAGCTTGAAGATTATAAGGGCAAGACTATTAATTTGTTGTAAGTGACACCAAATGGACTTAGCCTGTTTGGAGAGAAGAAATCTCGGCCCTCAATCCAAGGAGAGACTGCGGGCCACACTCCTTATGGAGGTTGAATGGATCCCTAAAGTTTAGGGATGAGATCATTCAAATTTTATCTCTTTGAAAGATAATTTTTTATCTCTTTAAAGGATAATATTTGGGATGATTCCTTTTTATCTTATTGTTTTTGAGTTTCATTACAATAAGGAGTCAACTTATTGATGTCTACTCAACCGTTGGATGAAGGCTACATCAAGATGGATGGCTAAGATCACACTACAAAGAAGATGATGATAGAGTTTTAACTCAAGTGAGATTCTAAGATCTCTTTGTATTTTAGAGTTTTAATTAATTCCTACATAGTCTTAAATGTCTTAACACTAGCAAAAGTGATTAGGTTCGTTATCTTATCACTTAAGATAACTAGGAATCTTTAGAGTTTGATTTGATTTCAAATTCTTAGAGATATGAATAGAGATGAAGAGTTTCGCTTTTCCTCTACTTCTTGGGAAGAAAATTCGACCACCCCCTCTATAAATAGGGACCGAATTTCTCTTGTCCAACACACATTGTGTCATTGATATTTTCTAAGTAAAATCAAATTGGTTAGAATTTTATTCCTTTCGTGGAGTTCTTGTGAGGACTTCTTTGTTTAATTGTTGCATAGTTCACTTGATGGTGGTGTCTTTAGCATTGGATCTTTCGAATTTTGGTTCTTAAGCTCATAGATCTCATATCTATTGGTTAGAAATAGCTCTCTTCATTCTTGATTTGGGTTGTTCTACCATTGAACTCGTGAATTGATCCACGTGAGATCAAATATCTTTTGTTTGTTTGTTTTCATGTGTTTTTGGGTCATTACATCCGAATTCTCCAAATTTCACTGCTTACAAATCTCTGTCTTTCTGATTTTGCAAATTTGATCTTTCCTTAAGATTGATTTTATCACGGATTGCTCGTGTGATGATGATGCTTGTGTGTTGTGTCGACATGATTGAAGATTATGGCCAATCTTCTTGCAATCAACACAATATTGGGGCATGTTATCATAAAATATTGATTGAAAATAAGTCGCCCCTTCAACTCCCAGTCTGATTCGATTAGGATGCTCCTTGAGAGGATCCAATTCTACACAGACTCGTGCCACAGACGGTTGTGACATGTTGAGAGTTGAGACGTTTATTTGGATAGGAGTTTCGATGATACTAGCTAGTTTTCACAAGTATGCCTTGTTGAATCGATGAAAATCTTCTTCTAGATCGAAGCAAATTAATGCAAATTAATCCGCAAATTAATCCGCTTCTTCCGACACAGTCCGCAAGAGTCGAAGAAATTTGAAACTTAATGAATTCAAGAAAATTATTTTCGTGAGATTTATTTCTTCTCCTTCCTCTGCCCATTTTTTTCATTCTATTTTTTTGTGTTGTTTTCTTGACAAACAAAACAAGTGTTTAAGTGTAAAACTTCACAACAATTAACAAATCTTTTTTATATTTACGAAACTCAAGATAATCAAACCAAAAATACCAAAACGACAAGCTTAATTTGATAAAATTGGATGATTATGAAATCAAAAAAGGTTGAATGGCTAAATTAAGGCTCAAAACCAAGTGTTAAATGAATGAAAGAAATAAAATAACCTCATGTTCCCTTGTCCCACAAGGAAGGATGGAGACTCTTGAAACCAACATATATACCCCATGTGCTACTCCCCTCATTGCCAATTAGTTTTGAGGTGGAACCACATGTGGCCTTCAAGATGGTATCATAGCAGAATTTTATCCACGGACCTGTGGGACTTGTAGGGCGAGGTTGACCGATTAAAACTGAACTTTTGACTTTCCCGAATTTGGGCTTTCACATAGAAACTTTGACCAACCGGAAAAACTTTGGAGTCAATTTGGGGCTGATACCATCACTGGAAGAATGGGCAAAAGACCAGTCAATTTGGGGTTCAAGACACAAAGCATTGGGGCAATTAAAAAATACACAAGCATGAAGGGCTCTCTAAGGAGAGGAACCGGCAACAAGGTTCTATAAAAAGGGGGAGCTGCATTTCCAGCAGGAGGATCATCTATCTCTCCTTCTCTCAGTCGACTAGAGCACACAGAGAAACTCCAGAAGGAAGGCAAGAGCAAGGAAGAAAAACAACAACTCAGCAAGAGGCAGAGTTGAAGAACAGTCATCCCAGTCACTGGTTCACTACCCTGAGTGAACTCTGTCACTCCTAGGAGTGACACCTTGAATTGAATAAGCTGTCTTCTTCTCTTAACTGTTAGCTTGTATTTCATTTCATTGATGCATACTGCTATGATGTCTGTTAAAGTAGTAGCGGTAGCATCGACCAGTATAAGTAGCTAAATAGCTTCCAGGGGTTAATCTCCTCAACCTATGTTGTAGTTGTTGTAATGCACTGATTTTGTTCTATGTTTTGAAGTTGGAAGTGTTTCTACATTCAGTTACTTGATCACTAATTGAATGCATGCTAGAACTAGGGGAAATCTGGAAGGATAAACTTGGTTTGGATTGTTTCAACTTCAACTTGTGACACGGAGGTAACAATCTATGGTTTTAACTAAGATAGGAATATACTTAGTTGACATGAGCATTCATATAAGCCTGAGATCTTAATGACTTTATAACTGGACTCAATCATTGGAAAATAGATTGTTAAAGTTACAAAGATGACTCTAGGAAAAATGGGAACTGACTTAGAGTTACATCTAAGCTGAATGAACAAGAACTTAAACATTAAAGTGCAAATTACACAACTGCTACAACAGGAAGAGGAGATGAACACCCCTGGTCTGTACTCCCCTGAGTGAACGTTTTTATTCCCCAGAGTGACACCTTATCTGTACTCCCTGAGTGAACGTTTTCATTCCCCTGAGTGACACCTTATCTGAACTGGTAGTCTGTTAACAACAAATTAGGTGATTTAGCTGTCCTCATGGGATCGACCATGCTTTGATTATCTACAAAAATTATAATCCAGCTAGTATTTATTTTTGGTGAATTCGGCACACACCAGAAAGTGGAGCCGTTGCTGGGGACGGCGTAAAACCTCCAAAAATTTGTTGTTTTTTTTTTCATTTGTGAATAATCCTTCTCTGGTTATTCCCCCGAGCTTCTAATTTCTTTTCTTTGGTGTATGACTAGAAGGCACCAACGAAGTGATTCAGTTTTTGATCCGAAAATTGAAGCTAATATACGCAGAGCCAGAGCAGCAAAATGAAAGCAAGATTGGTTGCAACAGAACCGCCAAGAAGGTTCATCAGAAATGGCTAACCAAGGTAGTAACCCGGAGAACAATAGGAACCCTGGTGGTGATCGACAAAATCAACCTGAGAGATTGTTCAGAGATTTCTTTATTCCACAACAAAAAGAAGTCCAATCCCCATTAGTATTCCTTCATGTGGAGGCAACCAATTTTGAGTTAAAACCACAGATGATCCAATGGACTCAGTCAACCTGCCCATTTCATGGATTACCTCATGAAGATCTTGATGATCAAGAAGTTTTTGCGTTTATGCAGTACTTTTAAGATTTAAGGCTTATCCAATGATGACATTAGATTGAGGTTATTTCCTTTTACTTTGCAGGATCACGCCCAAGCATGGTTGATGAGAATCATGTAGCCTTCCATGAAGGTTCTCCTAGTGAGGGGAATGAGTTAGTCCTTCATTCTAGATTTGGAATGCCAAGTTTACTTTGCAGGCCAATCAAGGAAGAAAGGATGGATCTTGACTACCTATGTGATAGGGAGTTGGTTCAAGAGAGCTATGATCAAGGTGATGAGAATGTCATTAACTTTGGGGTTCAAACCAAAGGAGATGAAGACCTCATGGAAATAAGTGCTGAAGAGTATCAAGAG